TTATGTTATTTTCAATTATTATTAATACGAGCGTCTTTTCCCGGAGAATAAAATCATGTACTTGGTTCCCTTCATAATTTTGATTCGATATTGTGAGCATATTGCTTTTCTTCCATACAATACGTCACTCCACCGATGGAGAATGAGAGTGCAATATCATTACAATAATTACACGCCGAGTATGATTGCTTAAGCTGCCAACAAAATAGCGCGCATTTAATGCGAAGCGTTTTAACTTTTAGCTTTTTAACTCCAATAATGTACAAACACGGTTAAACTTAGTTAAATTATGTCGAAAAATAATTCTTCGTTTTCATTAATTCCAGTATGTGCACATACAATGTTATGGTTTCAATATTATCATTATGATTCGCTTTTTTGTCTTATATCAAACTATTAAATAAATAAATATCAAGAATATTTTCAGTAATTCATGAGTTCAAATAACAATTTACTGGTGCTAATAACTTTCTTTTTCAATTGCTTCCATTTATTTTGTCATTAGTTATCGTTGTAATTAGTATTATTAATATTTTTATTATTAATATTGATATCACTATTATAATTATTATTATCATCATCATAATTTTTCTCGCTATTGCCGAAAGTGACATTTGTATTGATAAACATTAATTCGATTGAATTGTCTGTTTTACACTGTTAAATTGACAAAATCAAACTGATTGTAAAACTTCTTCAATACCCCCAATGTGGGTGTCATGAAAATAAATTGCCATCGTCATTTTCAGTGCGCATAATTTTTGTGTGACGTCACAGTACTTATCAGTTAGTATTAGGGACTTTCAGATTTGCACGTCGACAGCTTTGACTGCAACGTGTGACGCCATTTTAAGGCACTGCGCATGCGCCACGTCGTCTCAGTCGGCGATCGAGAATGCGTCAACCCTGATTTTCCTAAATCTAGTACGGTACTAGTATATGCCGCGTGCGCATAAAATATATAGTTCCTCAGGTAGACAAAGGAACATCCCTTCCCTGCTATTATGTAAAAATGTGTAGAACAGGTGTCAAATGCATATTCACCTGTTCTACACATTTTTACATAATAGCAGTGAATGGATGTTCTACCACAGCAATATATATAGGCCATTTTCGTAATGTAACCAAAATTTAATACATAAGTGTTTGTAAAGTGCCTCAATACAAATTATTTCATTCACCTGATAGGAATAATAGTATTTCAATAGTAAGAATGTAACTGCATATAATAAGTGTTGCTAGGTAGGTCAAGCCATAATGTTTGTCCAACCTGGCAACAACTAATGTATGCAGTTCGGATTCTGTCTATTGAAATTCTATTATTTTTATCAGGTGAATAACATAATTTGTATTGAGGCACTATACAAAGACTTATGCATTAAATTTGGTTACATTACGAAAATGGCCAATTGTTGAGGGTAGAATGAGGAACTGTAGATTTTGTTCTCTTTCTTTGTCCGTCATATGCTAGTGTTACTTCCTGCATGCATGTATATCTTCGAGTGCAATCTAAAAGATTTCTAGTTGTAGTCAACATGGGCAGTTGAGTACGTTGACACACAATGATCAGTCGGCGTTCGTCGTGTTCTTGTCCACTCAATCTAAAAGTCCCTATTTTGTCTTAAAGTCACCTTGCTTAACTAAAACGCTAAGATATGATCTGAATACGAGTAAAGACATTTAATTCAGCCAAGTAAAATTATAATCACAATACTATCTTAATCCACGTACTGAATTAAATACGTTTAAATTCAAAATTATATTCCAAACTTGAATCATCTCTAATTTTGACTCGCCAAATGTTGCTGTAAGATATATATTATAACACAAAGCACATTTGTATATTTTAATTTTGTTGAATTCAACCGAAAAATATTTATGTGAAATAACTGGACACCCCTAGCCTGTATTTTGCTACCAAGACGGAGTCCATCATTCGTATTTGTTCCACTTTATAATTTTCCAATACGAAGGCATATATGTTTTTTTTTTTTTTTTTTTTAATATTGCTTTTAATTGAAGGCTCATTATAATTTTCCTTAAAAAACATATGAAATAATTTGTACTTTATTGATTCATTCAAACATTTGAGTTTCTTCTGTTATCATTGTCATATTGAGTGATGCTATACCCTTGTTACTTGTTACAATGTATTTATGTAGTGATCTCCCATGAGTACTGCAAGTCGGAATGGGGGACCTTCACGGTTTCGGTGATTTAGTTTGCCTGCCCCATTCCTGGCAACTTGTAAATGCTCATGGGAATCACGATGATTTTCATCCTTTGTTTTGTATGATTTGTTCTTCTATGTATTCCTCTGTATACACTTTGTTTTGCCGAATAAATAATAATAATAATAAAGATTATAGTCGAGACACTGTTGAATTGGAAAATTGCCACGGATCGATGAATTGAACTTTTCAATCCTTTGAATTGAACTATAATTGATTGTTTTTAAATGTATAATAATAATAATACTGGCTTTCTTGTGTGGCATACTGCATTCAGTTAGCATGAATGCTGCACTCGTCGAGCTGAATGTAATATATCTAATATATATACTCAAGGGTAGCTAATATTATATATTTTTTCTTCTTTCTTTTTAACACTCTCGGGGAACTTTATTTCACATATATATATACAACGTTCACAATAATACATATATATATATATATATATATGTACATGTACATATCAAGTTGAGACATTATCTTAGCTTATCAATCAAAGTTTTTACCTGTTTTTCATTTACTTTTTGCTTTTGTTTTAGAATGTGACATCAATTCATTATTTAAACAAGTTTAAAAGTTCTACCATTCATTTTGCGTTTTGTTTTCAAAAGTATATACATGTATACCGTAGTTCTTATAAATAACATGTTCAACAAAAGTAATTACAATTTTTACTAAGTAATTATCTAACTTGGATATATTATTTCCAATTACATAAGTCTACTAATTTATGGTAATAGTTAATCCAAAAAAATGATATATCAAAAGTGTTACAATTTTCCAAAAGACAATAATCTGTTTAAACTCTACCATCATATGCCGTGATGTTTCAATGGTATTACAGTCTACACTTCCATAATTATGTTTGAATTTTCATTTATACAGGTTATATTTTGACGGTAAAAACATAAGCAAAAGTTTTAAATTGATTGTTTGGTTCTGTTATCTCGTGTATCATTGACCTGAAATGTTAATACTGGATTCCAATTAAAATTGGAGGGCAGTGGTAATCATTGCTGCTAAACATTGTGATAGAATAAAACCGGATTCCAATCAAAATAGGAGGGCAGTGGTAATTGTTGCTGCTAAACATTGTAGTTGATATTTCTATAAAATTAGAGTGATGTCGTGTCTGATACAAATCATTACGTAAATGATCAACCCACAATTTTTGAAAGGCTTTCTTCACCTTTGAAAAGTTGAAAGAAAACAGCAGTTTTAGAAACTTATATTTTTGACACATGAAATCCATATCATTCCAATGTCCTTAACTAAAAATATGGTTTACTTAAAAAATACCAACCTTTTCCGTTAACTTGAAATGCAATACCTGGTTATCAAAAGTAATATTACTATTATTCCATAACATTTCATTTTCGATATTTTAACCATTGGTGTCTTTATATATCTCAATTTTGACAAAGTACAAAGTAAATCAAAGTAAACATGGGGTATCCCAGACGTTCAACATAATTTCTCCATGTCTATGTTATTACAATTAAACTGAAACACCAATGGAATTCCACCTACCCTATTTAACCAATAGGAAAATAAAATGTTCCATGTAGCTTTCTCATCGTCAAGTTATCTCATTATCCAAGAAAGTCACAGAGAACCGACTTTTGCCTTGAAATCAACTAGACCTAAACTCCCTTTAGTAATAATTGTATTCAAACATACGTTTATTTTTATTTTTTCTTACTTAGACCCCCATAATATTGGAAACATTATCTTATTTTCAACAATACAATGTGGTATTGGAATAGTAGTCGCCACATAAATATTTTGCAACACAACTTATAGCTTTAATATCACAATTTTACCGTTATGTAACATAACTCTATTCAAGATAAGTTTAGTTGTTTAAATTTTTCCATCCCAATTTAAAGCCCCGACTTTTTAAAAATTTTACCTACATGTACATATATCCTGAAACATATTACTGGCTCAACCGAAAATTTATCTCATTCTATTCAATTCTTTTTAAATCCTGCACTAGAAATATATAATTTCCGATTGTTCAGTCAATAGAAATACCAGAAAAATTACTAAAACAAGTAAGTTCCCTCATTACAATATCTGCTGACCGTAAGGATAAAAAAATAGTACAGTATCATCCGCATACTGTATAATTTTAATTTCGTTTTTACCGTCCACATTTCTTTGACTGGAAATCTGTATTCCACATATATTTTCGTTTTGTTTTATCCTTGCAGTTGATACTTCTACCGTAAATATACATAACAAAGCAGAGAGAGGACACTCATGCCTCGCCCCTTTCTTTATCTTTATAGAAAATGATTTGGAAATCCAATCATAATTGACAACTTTTCCACCTGCATTTTTATAAAATGTTAGAATCTATGAAATAAAAGTATTTTTAAATCCGAATTTGCTAGTGTTTTAAACAGATAATATACTTTATAAATATATCATCAACAAGATTAGGGATAAACTCATACTTTCTCATCCAAACAGTTTTTCGGATGTAAAACATTTAAAGGCACACTGTCCTACTTGTAGCTACTTGCTCCCTCTATATAGGAAACTTCCCCAATCGGTGCCTGTTCGTCCCCCATGATCCTCTTTTTCTTATATTAAATGAGAGCTGAGTTAATGAAATAGCCACCTGTCACAGTGACCTCGCTGGCTCGCTGTGTGCCCTAATCCCTTCTGGCTGAAGTAGTAAAGCCTCCCTTTAATCAAACCTTTCTAATTTTTTAATGAAACAAAAATACTTAGTGAAAAATATCCTGTTTAAAGGGGGTTTTAAGTGGCTTGGCTCAATACGGTTGACAGTGTCTGTGGTTCATCTTGCTTTCGCTGATGACAGCCAGAGCACAGCTTCTTCAACAGATATTCCCTAAACTGCGGCGCGCAGAAGGCGTAAATAAATGGATCAACGGCGCAATTGGACTGGTTCAGGAGGATAAACGTGAACAGAACAATACGATCCCTCACAAACTTCGCCGACGCCCATCCCGTCATGTACTTGTAGAGGACAAACGTGGAGCGGGGAGCACGAAAGAGAAAGAACACCAGCAAGATCAACACCACCATCCTCGTCAACTTGGTCTGGAGAGCGGCACGAAGACCACCGGATACATCCTGTTTCCTAGCAACGGAGAGATGTTTCTTGCGGAAGGAGCTACGCAGAACGCGCCAGGCAATGCGGGAGTAGCAAAAGATGAGGATGCTGCCGGGGATGAGGAACATGATGGTGTAGATGTAGATGTGGTTGACCAGTGCTATGGAAGTATCCGGCACACATAGCAAGAAGTAAGATGGTATCTGCACGACGATTGAAACTTGAAGTACAAAAGACACAAAATAAGATATTATTTTGAGCATCATTTATTTTCTTCCAGATTTTTTGAATTATGAATAAACAAATTAACCAAATGATAAAATGAAAGCATAGTGGGATAAATGAACGAACATCTTGAGCAAGACGTAATTTCCAGTAAGCATAAGCTTGAGTCGGGCATGCCACTTTACAATATATAATATAAAAACTTGTGCAGATATGTCGCGGTAAACCGGCATAAAAACCCGCTATTGTTTTTTGCTAACGTGTAAACGAATGGCAACTGCGTGCACCGAAATGACTTACGCATATTCACTGAGCTCCGTGTTAGAAGATTCAGAAGTGTGAAGCGTATTACACTTAACGTCATAGGAAAAAAAAACCGCCGCTGATTTTCCGCGTCATATCTGAATGAGTCTTAACTGCCTGACTGATTATTGACTCTCATTTATAAATAATGATGAATAAAATATTTCTAAAACAATTCAAATATCTTTTTGAGGGATCGGTTTTTCTTTGTACAGTGTATACATACCGAACCAGCTTATGGCGATGGCGATCGAAACGCGACGCCCATTCCATCGGTCGACTGATTGTAAGGGATTGATTATCGCATCGTAGCGGGTGAGAGTGAGAAGGATCAATGTACAGCATGAATTTTGATACACCACCTGAGAGAGAAAGAGAGAGAGAGAGAGAGGGGGAGAGGGAGAGAGAGAGAGAGAGAGAGAAAGACAAAGAGCGAGAGAGAGAGAAAGATAATAAGGGTGATATTAGTATGATGAATCTGATGGGAGCCAGCGGAACAGGTGTGCTCTATCGTTACGTCATACGTGAATACGTATGAGCTGAACACGTCACAGATATTTTGGACATGAGTATAATTGTTTGTATTTGGGGGGGGGGGGTCGATTTTCATAGTATGGAGCCATAGCACTCACTTTCAATTAATATATATACTATGAAAAATGAATGATTTATCCCGATGGACATGAATAATTACGTAAACAAAATAACAGTGTATATTCTTCGAAGGCGAATGTTGTGTGGAACTTGTAGGAAAAAAGTACGTGAAAGCAAATCTCTAATATATATATATATATATATATATATACACTTTTACATTGTTGTGTATGTGTAGGGCTGGCCAGGCTGGCCGATTATGATTTTAAGCAGCATGTTTCATGGAGAGAACCCATGATGAAGCCTGTAAACCAGTATATATGAAATATTTCTAATTTTGTGGAGTTGCAAACTACTTGGAGAATGAATCTAAAAGAAACATCGATGATTGAATGTTTTGCGTCAGTACTCGTGATTAATACCATTACCCATAACGGTTGAGGAGGAGATAAAATTGGTGATTGGTAGAGCGTCTGCAATAAACATAACAAATCAGATAAATCCACTGCAATCAGATTCATGATTGGTCGAAGCCAGCACTGACATAAACATGCCTCTCCTTTTATACTTGTCGAAGTGGGACTAAATATAATAATCCCTCATTATGTTTGTCAATGCCTGCGGGAATGTGACCTTTAAATCTACCTCCATGCAGGCACCTCCATTTTGCCAGTTATTTGCTGAGACTTTTGTTGTTTCCCTAAACAGGTCCAAAACCTTATAACAAGCTCTAAATCCTTAACCTCTGACCAAGTAAAACTTCAGATGTACGTGTCCGAGACTCTGAACATATCTGAGAACCGTTGAAGGTATTGTAATGTGATTTAAAATGGGGAAAAGGAAAAGACACTTCGATAAAAGAGGAGAGAAAAGCAAGAATAATCCCCGTAAAAGCTGTCAGACAGATAACACATACACACAGGAATCAGCCAACCATCATCCCTGCACATGACATGCTATTACTTCTACTTCAGCATTTTAATAGTATCTTAGTCTACAGACTAATTCTACTATTATACAACATCCAAGTTACTGAAGCTCAAACTACGTACAACAAAATACACATGTCTATCTTAAACAATGTGTCTTACATTAATTTTATTTGCACTAAGACCATGCACTATGATGTTAAAATAGGGATATGTATTATGAGATTCAAAATCGAGTTTTATTTCAATCTTTGTTCTTATTTGATATTCCGATAGAATAAAGTTTATCAAAGTTTGTGGTATGTATCAGGTTCTTTACGTCCAACAATGCAATGACAAAGTTTGAATTCAATTTGTTCAAGATCTCTCATTCGACCATTATTACCAAACACGCCGTACATAGTATAGCGCCGTGGCTCGGCCCATGCACAGTAAAATGGTATATAACTTGCATTTTTCATAGAATAGATCACAGATAGACTTATTACCGAAGAAAATGTACACATTTTTCTTGTATCCAACTTATGTTGAAATTAGTGGGTTTGAAATAAATAAGAAACATGAAATGAAAACCTAACCGTGCAGTTAGATGTTAAAAAGTTAAATGTCTAAATAGGTAGTTAACACATTTTATTCCAATAACAACTTAAGACGTATATGCTTATGGATGACAAAATATATATTCAATTCGTTTTGTCGAGGTTATTTTGAAATCACGGTGCTTAAAAGTAAGAAATACGAAAAAGTTTATGAACATGATATGAAACCTTACCGTGCAACGTTAAATGTCTAAATAAATTGTTGACACGTTATCGCCCAACACTATTGTCTCTTCCCTTTTAATAAAATCAAGTAAATTTATTTTTGATTTGCGAGTAGGTAGAGACCCCATTTTGAGGCACGCGAAACCCTTTGTTTACACCAATATCCGCAACCTTTGAACGGAGAACCTGCAAGTAAACGTCTTTTGTAATTCAATTCAATTCAATGTAGTTTATTAGAAACATAAAGTAGTAGTCCAGGGACTAATTGCTCAACTTTACAATGTAAAATTGGTAATGTTATTCTGTTTCTTATTAACTTCTTTGTAGCTGAATTTGTCCGTCGCACCATTACCTTGCCATTCCACTTTGAAGATTGCCGGTTTTCTCTTCTCATATCGTGCATTCTCTGGGGTGTCATTTCGAGGGATCCGGGTTGGCTTTGTCCTGTTCATACTTATGTTTTATACTTGGTTTGATAATGTGATCGAATAAATCTAATGAAATGGTGATGTAAGCCGAGTCAGTGTCCATTTTACACATTTGTAAATCAGAGGGATCAACGTATTTCAAAAGGAAATCGTAATAATACTGCACCATGCATAGTTTCGCAGGTTGATACACGGTATGACCAATCTGAACCGGGAGGTCCATTTATATTTTTCTTTTAGCCATATCAACGTCATAACAACTTTCTGATATTGGGTTCAAATCCCCAAGAGAATGTTGTTGAGATGTTTCTGTTTTTTTTTTCTCTTTATCGCAAACTGTCGTTTGATGCCATTTCTGATAGGTAATCTTGCCGTAAGGCGGATTACCTATAAGCTTTATGGTGTCGGCAATGATAGAAGGATCGACCGTCAACGTCCCCCTTGCGTTGAGTATCAGACATGCTTTCACCAAAGACAGTGTCAGGGGCAAGCAACCGGTTTGTATTCTACAAATTGTTATATCTTGATTACCACTTACCCATAACTGAGAAACCATTGGAGTAACGGTTTATAGGATGTTGATAGGGTAGGATGTTCTGACCACATATACTTCCAAAAAGCCACGCCGAGGAGTTTCATGGTATCAATGATGCTCTACGGCGTAACATCACATCACATCTCCGATTTCTTCTCTATATATATTCACTTTCTTGAAAACGAGACACATTTCAGAAAAGCATTCTTTGAGGTGATAAGGGAGGTGGATGTCACACTGACCAAGCCAAATAAACTCTCCTGGGTATACCCATGACATTTTTTGGTGAGGTAAGGTAAACATGTCTGTGGGAAAAGCAATGAGTTTGGGGCCGTTTTTGCGCCCATTGCGATATCACCATTCCCAGATTTAAATGTACTCGTAACTCGTGACCTAAACCTTCTATTTACCGCTGTTTTTCTTTCAAAATATATTTCCTCAATTTATTATCTTGTGTATGGCCTTTGGTGAGGTGACATGCTCGGGTATCCGTCGAAGTAAAGACCTTAAATTACTACTCTCTAGTAGTAGTAGAAGTAAACATCCGTGAAATTCAAACGCTTGTTTTGTTTGGGCGCAAAACCCCTCCACGAGTATCTAGTTCTCTTTTCGGAACGGTGACCGGCAGGTCGAATAGGAATTTGTTCACAGAAACCTTAGTATTCTAACCCTTCTTTAGCTATTGCATGTCTATTTTCCGGTTTAATTCATTTTACACCCTTCGTCTCACATAGTGTCCTGTTGGCATTATTGCATGATTATGTGTATGTACAAAGTATTCGCATCGAAACCAATAATTTTGTTCATATGGCTTGCCCCCACGATTCCTCGTTTAATACGCCACGTTTGTGCCGGTAACGATGAAAAATGGACCTCTCACCAGTATATCGCGTAGAGGTCTCTGTCTCTGTCTCTTTCAGAGATTACGCTAAAATGGGCATCTGGGCTGTATTATTTTCATCAAGTACTCAATGGTGAGCCAGGGAACTGAAATACCATCTTATAACAAGTCAATTTTAAGGTTCTTAAATAATTCACGGATTTTCTCGACCGCTCCGATAAAAGGTGTAACATCGACATTGTTGTACCAAATCAAATAATCTCTCAGACAAGTCGTGTTGTTTTCTTTCCAAATGCGTTGACAATATCCATATTGTTCTATTGAAAACGTGGTTTGATGGAGGTTTTCAATCGAAACTTCAATAGGGGGAAGTCCAAGTTAATTCAGTTTATTAAGGCAATCTACCCAGCCATGAAGAAAGTAACCTTTACCTTAAAGGGATCCGGTAACTTTGTCTTAGATCCTTTAGAAATAATCCTTGATTTAGCTCATGCTGCAATGATAATTATAAACCTTTAGGTCAGTCAGGAACTCCATGACTTTTACAAGCCGATCGCCTGTCTGATTATCAAGATATTAATGAT